CCACCACTGAGGCTTCGGAGCGTGGTTGCCTGGCACCGTTACCAACGATGCCCTGATAGCCAAGTCTTCGGGGGTTACTCCAATTTGCAGGTGGTGAACAACTTTTGTCATTATCTTCACATTTACCAAGCTACCGAGAAAGGCAGCATTTGGCTCTTTCTTTTCTGGCAGTTGCTAATTTTAAGCCTTATTTTGACAGAAAAATAGTGAGTACCAACTAATTAAAGTTGTATGAATTGTGATGACACCTTTGTTGTTTAAAATGATAAGCTGTATACTCTTTTTAAGAATTGTACTCTTTTTAAGAGTCAGCATTTCAGAGGAGAATTGGATGAGGTAGAATTTTTTTCGAGGTTTATTAGCATTATTTCAGATTAGTTGGTGTCAATGAGAAGGATGAGATTAGTTCATTTGTAGTCTTTTCCTTTGTTTCCGTTTATGCTGTTGGGTTTTTAAGAGTGTGGATGTTAGGAGCATCCTTTTCTCCTCACATTAATGTAATATAGACATCATAACTTCAGGTAAACGAAAGAGAAGCATCTTCCTCTTGGCATCTATTTTTAAATTTTATATTTGGATTTTTTTCTCTCAGTGTCCATATAATCACTTACATATAAAAAGAATATCAACAGGGTTTCAATTTAGTTTAATTATGCAGATAGGAGTCCTAGGGACATATTTTTCTAAGTTGGTTGTCACACTAGTGGATTTTTTGTTTATTCATATTTTTTAACATACTGCATTTCTGCTTCTTTGTGTTATTATATAACTCTGTAATAAGATATGGGTAGAAATTAATTCAAGTATACATGGGGAAGATACATTATATCATAATATAATGTATAGAAATTAATTAAATGTGTAGAAATTAAAGTATACATGGGGAAGATACCTTTTATTAGAGTATTTGAAGAAGAATTAGAATGTGTCATCAGTTAAATAGAATTACATATTAGAAAGCACCTGGCCAGTTCTTGATACCCAGGAAAGCTTCAAAAAATTCATTCAGTCAACAAATATTGATAGGACATTTATACTGTACCAGGTACCACTATAGGCATTGGCATACATCACTGAATAAAACAGCCAAAACTCCCAGCTACTGTGGAACTTCTAGTTTCCTTCCCTTCCTTTGTGAGGTAGTTTCTAGGAGGAAAAATTGTGATTTCACCCAGCCTATTCAGTAGTCTCACCCTAGATTCACATTCAGTTAATACTTATAAATACCCATTTTCTGTTACTTTAAAGGTACTTTTGTATTCAGTTATCTTATTCTTTGGAATGGTCCTATGAAAAGGGATTTTTTAAATTCTCATTTTACAAATAAGGAATCAGAAACTTAGAAATTGGAGGCAGGATTTGAAGCCACACTTTCTGATTCAGAGCTTCCTGTTCTTTCTATTATGGCACTTGTAGCAAAAACAGCATGATGGCTTTTATTCATTCCACTGTCTGTTTTGTTTCAGTTCTGCAAACATTTGTAGAACTGAATGCCAGATCTCAGATCTGTTCTGGGAATGCAAAGAGTGTTTAGTCCCTGTCCTGAGGAGTTCAGGGTTTAGTAGGGAAGACTGTTGGCATATAAGTAGGCATGCAGTGTGCTAAGTGTAAGGCTGATGCTATTTATAGATTCTTGGAAGCACAGAGGAGAGGCACCTAATCTAGATCAGGGTTAGGACATGTCCAAAAAGACACACTGGAGGAGATCATCCATGAGCTGAGTCTGAAAGAGTAACTTAGCCAAGGACAAGGGAGGAAATATGAGCAACAGCAGAAATGAATGGTGAATGTAGAGAAGTGTATAGGCTTTTAGATTGCCAGAGTGTAAAGCATGAAGCAAGAAATGGCCAGGGATCAGGCTAGTGTGGTTAGTAGAAACCAAATGAAACCATATGCTAAAGACAAAACTTTACCAGGACCACATGTATAGGTATCTTTAAACCAGTTATCCACCCAGTCCACTCAGCTATAGCCAGAGCAGAAGAATTGCAAAGCATAGTGACTTGTACTTAAGGAATTGCTCAGAAGGGGACCATTGGGAAAATGGGCATGTCATACACTGTGAGGCCTCCCAGAGTTGGTAATGTTGCTCAGTGCATAGTTATAGTTGGTCCAGGACAGAAGACTGGCCTAGCTTGGAGGTAGTAAATTTTAGTGACATTATTGTGATTGCCTATGTGGTCTTCCTGAACGGCTTAGGCATGGGATTAGAATTTAAACATTGGTCCAGTTTTTTGGGTAGTTGATCATTACGAGAATGGAGGTTGTTAGTTAATAAATAGCTTCAAATGATTGACCATGAAGTCCAGGTTGGATAGAAAACAGGGACAGGGAAAAATGGTGTGGTCAAGAGACTGGAGGTTTCTATGAAGTTGAAGAGCAGATGTATTGGAAGAAATATACGGTTAGGAAGAAAGGTCAAAGGTGAATATTACTCCTTAAGATGTCTGAGGTGGAGATTCTCTGAATGATGATAAGATCTAGGTTATGCTCTAGGAGTGGGTGGCTAGAGAGGAGGATAAGGATTCTGGAGTCAAGGAATTATGAAGCTATGATAGTAGATGGATTATTATATGGTTATTTACTAGTATGGTGTTAGAAGTCAAGAGGTGGAACTATTGTAAACCTGGGGCTAACGTCCTTAATGATTAAAGGAAATTGAAGGAGAGATTAATTCATGAGAACAGCAAACAATAATAAAGGATACTAAATCAAGATGGTATAAACCTCAAGAATATGCTTTATTTCAAACCAGAATTTTATGGAATAAAATTATCTTATGAAATAATAAATTGATTCCAAACTATTATTTTATGGAATAATGGTTTGAAAGCTGTCATAGTAAGCTTGGAAAACCCCAGCATCCCAGCCTGGGTACCACTAAATATTGAACAAAGGATAATGAAAAACTTCCATCAAATAGGGTTCTAAGCTAAATTGTATTATCAGGTGAAAACCATGTTTCAGTCATGTCAAGAAGATGAAAAAAAAAAATAGAAGAATTTTACATAGCATACACTATTATCTCTGTGGAATATCATGGCTATTTTAAAATTTCCTCTATCTGTGTTCCACAAAGTACCATAATTTCATGTGTATAGTTATCATATATTTATTGAACACTAACTAAAATTTAGACACTGTGGTAGAAATTAGATAGATATATATAGCTCTATACTTAGCCTCAAAAGTTTAAAGGACAATGGAAGCAATAATTATACATTAATAGATGGATAAACTTCTTTTCTTTTTAAAAAAAAAATATATTTTATTGATTTTGTACAGAGAGGAAGGGAGAGAGATAGAGAGCTAGAAACATCGATGAGAGAGAATCATCGATCAGCTGCCTCTTGCACACCCCCTACTGGGGATATGCCCGCAACCAAGGTACATGCCCTTGACCGGAATCAAACCTGGGACCCTTCAGTCCCCAAGCCGATGCTCTATCCATTGAGCCAAACCGGTCTTGGCTGGATAAACTTCCTTTCTAATCTTATTTTCCACTATCCTAATCATATGCCAGCCAGACTAAATCTACTAAATGTATACCCTGTGTGTTCTTACCTCCATGCCATTTCTCATACTGTATTCCTTGGCATCCCCAAACCCAAATTCAGTCTACCTTTCGGATCTAGCATATTCCATTTTCCCATATAACTTTCACTTATTTCTCCAGATGATGTAATCTTTTTTTTCTCTGAATTCCTAAAATCATTTCCTATGTACCTCTTTAAAATAACACATTGTTTCATCACTTCTAAGATGCACATTTTTTTTCACTGTTTAACATCTCTGGAGATTACTGTTTTAAGATATGCTCTGTCATCAACATTCTTAAAAGAATACAGGATGATAGTTTATGAAAAAACATGAATGACAACTCCTCTGAGTCAAATAGTAGCTCAGAGAATGAAGTATTAGGACTACCTTAACTAATTTATTTTGTGTATATCCTTTTTTTAAAAATAAGTTTTTATTGATTTCAGAGAGGAAAGGAGAGGGAGAGAGAGAAAGAAACATAAATGATGAGAAGCATTGATTGGCTGTCTCCTGCATATCCCCCACAACTAGGGATTGAGCCCGCAACCCAGCCATGTGCCCTTGGCTGGAATTGAACCTGGGACCCTTTCAGTCTTCAGGCTGATGCTCTATCCACTGATCCAAATCTGCTAGGGCCAACAAATTCTTTTTGAAAGACCATTATTTACTAGGTGCTAAGACGAGGAAGATGTTCTAAGAACTTTAGTTTGGTGTAAAGTAGCAGGAGGCAAGCAGGGGCCAAATCCTATAAAGGACTTTGTTCTTTTGAAGTTTAGATACTTCAGTGGTTTCATAAATGATACTTATTTCATTTTAAAATAGTTTCTCTACATTTGAAACTTAATTTTACAAATATATCCAACTTGATATAGACCAAGTTTTAACACTTTTGAGACCACAACATGTTATTCTGTGCTGATTACTTAATCTTTTTTTTTTTTTTTAAATCCCTCAATGTACCAAATAACTTCTCACCTCAGGGCCTTTGCATATGCTTCTCTCTCTCTCTCTCTCTCTCTCTCTCTCTCTCTCTCTCTCTCTCTCTCTCTCTCTCTCTCTTTTCTTCTTTAATTTAGTTCAGAAAATTACTGGATCCTGTTTCTATTGAAATTGTTGACACCATCTTCTATATCTTTCTGTATTATGTTGTTATGTTTTTAAAATATATTGTTAGAATTAGTTTTTCTACTATTGCTAGTATAGAAATTAAGAAATAAGAAATGAAATGCTACCAAAAAGTTTAATTATCCCAATTATGATAAAAGAAAGAAAAAGTGATCTAATTATCAGGTGGTTTCAAGCAACTGTTATTTACAAATTAAAAAAATTAAATGCTGAGCTCTGTTTCTGGTCTTCATTTTAAAAATCTGAATAGCGTCTGCAAAGGTGGTGCAGAAGAATTTGGAGACAGCAGGGCTCCCTCCTGGTTCTCTCCCATCACCTCTGCCTTTCCGTTCTAGGGGTTCTTCAGCAAGCGCCTGAAAGGCTCCATCAAGAGGACCAAAAGCCAATCAAAGCTTGACAGAAACACGAGCTTTCGGCTTCCATCTCTTCGCAATACAGATGACAGGTAGGAAATTAACTTGTTTAAAATAGAAAAAGCGGTTTTACAGTGGGGTGTTTGGGTTTTTTTATATAAGACATGTTGGCCATCTGTAACTTTGCATCAAGAACAATTGGAAATATCCAATATAAAACTTACTTTTTTGTCTTGCTCATATTAAAGCAAGGTCTAAAATATTGACTCAAATACCTAGCCAGTTTAAGAATCTTAAAATATTGGAGAATGTATGGGTACATTGTACTGTTTTATAGAATCAAGTTCTACTGGTCAGAGATATGCTTTTTTTTTTTTTTTTTTTTTTTTTTTTTTTAGAATGATGATGATGATGATAGCTAACATTTTTATGGGCACTGTACCAAATGCTTTATATACATTTTCTTGTTTAATCTTTATACTAATCCTATAAGATATGAAGTTGACCTCTTATAATCCTACTAGAGGCCTGATGGACAAAATTTGTGCAAGGGGCCTGGCCCTCGCAGCCATGACCACCACAGCTTGCCCTTGCTCTTGCAGCCCCGGCTTCTTCTGGAAAGTTGTCCGGCTGTTCGGTCTGATTAGCATATTACACTTTTATTATTATAGATAAGTGACAAAAATGGTATTTGAACTTTGGCAGTTTGGCTCCAGGGTCCACACTCTTCACTGCTATTTTCCTTGTCCAGCATATGGATTAGGTCTTATTGCTTTTTTTTTTTTTTTAATATATTTTATTGATATTTTACAGAGAGGAAGGGAGAGAGAGAGAGAGAGAGCTAGAAACGCCGATGAGAGAGAAACATCGACCAGCTGCCTCTTGCACACCCCCTTCCAGGGATGTGCCCTTAACCAAGGTACATGTCCTTGACCAGAATCGAACCTGGGTCCACAGACTGACGCTCTACCACTGAGCCAAACCGGTTTCGGCTCTTATTGCTTTTCAGTGGTGTCTGGAAGACATGTATGAAAAGGAATCCTGGATTCCAATAATTAGAACTACCAGCTTGAGTAAACTCCAAATGCATAGCTCGCTAATGATAACAACCTTCCAAAATCATTGAATGTGTGCTAGGATGGGTACATTTTTAATACTTTATATTTCATCATTATTAAATAAAATCTAGATAACACTTATTATATCTTGACACATCATCACCATCATCAGTATTTATTGAATACTGACTATGTGCCAAATTTTTTTAGTTTCTCATGTGATACAACCCTAAGTACTACTATTACTATCCTCATTTTACAGATGAGGAACTAAGGCAAAAATTATGATACTGAAACACTTGCCCAAAGTCACATTTGAACTCACATCTGCCTTTCATATTTGATACTCTTATTTATACTTGGGTTTATTTTGTTTCAGTAAATCCATTGTTTTCAATTAACTGCAAAACAAACTTCAAACATATGGATTATAATGTCTGTAATAGCAGATTATAGATTTACCAGAGAGAATTACTCTCATTTTGTAGAGGAAGAAATGTGTCTCCCATAGTGAGTTGATAAGAATTACTGCTTTATCTACTTTCCTTATCCCTGAAATACATTAGAGGTGTTCTGTGAAATTTGCAAGTCTATTCAATTTGCAGTGTAATTGTATTGTTCATTATCTCTATTATACCTTTGTATTAAGGTAATCTTAAAAAAACTGATTTTTTCTCCTCATATCTTTTCCTTGGTTCCTATTATTCTGCAGCTTTTATCATTATAAGAATTTAAATTATTTTATAAATATTTTAATAAAAGGGAATGACAATTTTTTTCAGAATATTGGGTTGTTGTTGTTTTTTTTTCTTTAAGAATAAGGAGTTTGTCCAGCAACTAAAACAATTCAATAGCTAGCTTTGCAGCATCCTGTGTAAATGAGGGAGACAAGGAGATAGATTTTACATGAGGTATGCTTTATTTTTTTAAATTTGCACTAAATATCACTTTCTTGTTTTTAAACAGATGCTCTCTTCTATTCCATTTTGCTTTAGGTAACTTATAGGAATTTTTGGATTGAATTACCAAAAGATTATTCCCTAGAATTTCTCTAGATTTTCTTATATCACTGCTTTGTAGTTGGTGCATAAGAAAAAGAAGAGCCAAAACCGGTTTGGCTCAGTGGATAGAGTGTCGGCCTGTGGACTGAAAGGTCCCAGGTTCGATTCCGGTCAAGGCCATGTACCTTGGTTGCATGGGGGGCGGAGAGGGGGGGGGCGGTGTGTGTGCAGGAAGCAATTAATCGATGTTTCTTTCTGATCAATGTTTCTAACTCTCTATCCCTAACTCTCTATCCCTATCCCTTCCTCTCTGTAAAAAATCAATAAGATATATTTTTTAAAAAGAAAAAGAACATATGTCACCCCAAGCACTTATACATTAGGGTTTATAGCAACATAAAAGCCAAAAAGTAGTGATGACCCAAATGTTCACCAACTGATGAATGAATTAAAAAACAGGATATTCATACCGTGCAATATGATATGGCCATAAAAAGGAATGAGGTACTGATACATGGTATGACATTGGTAAACTTTGAAAACTGTATGCTAAGTGAATGAAGCCAGTCTCAAAAGACTATATATTATATGATTCCAATTATATGAAATATCCAGAATAGGCAAATCTTTAAAATATTTAGAGACAGTAGATTAATGATTGCTAGAGGCTGGAAATATGTGGGACAGAGAGTGATAAATGAGGAATGACTGCTAATGGACGTGAGGTTTATTTTTGGAGTGATGAAAATGTTTTAAGTGTAGATTGTGGTGATAATTCCACAACTCTGAGTATACTGAAATACACTTTGAATGGGTAGTTTTATGGTATGTGAATTATATCTCAATAAAGATGGTAAATTGTTTTTTTAAAGAGCTAGCCAGGAAATACTTTACTATGAGCCTCATTAGTCTGTAAGCTCCTCTCCAGCAAACAAAGCTTGCATTGAGCTTTTTAGTGCATTACTCTTAAATAAAAACAGATAGCCAAGATTATCCAGATATTGGAGGAAAGACTCCAACATGAAAGACAAATAAATAGGAGGAAGGAAAAAGGACCCAAACGAAACAGAGACAATATATAGAGCCAAAAACAACTTCAGAACATAGTGAATATTTTCAAAAGATAAGATTGTGTATCTGTGAGACAATAGCAAGAAGGAACACCAATGAAATAAGGAAGAGAGCTTGGAAATTAAAAACACAAAAGCTACAGTCATGTCCCTCTCCCAGAAAGTAGAACAGAAAATGAGAAAAATCAACTCAGAAGATTCTAGTAAAAGAGAACATAAGTAGAAAAATTTTGGAGAGGAGATTGTTAAAGAAAAAGTACAAGGAAATTTCCTAAAACAAGAAAACATAAAAGTCCACATTGGAAATAGCACTAAATTCTCAGCACAGTGAATGAAAAAAAGACACGCCCCTCCCACAAACACACACACACACACACACACACACACACACACACAAACACACATACACATCACTTCACATCATCATGAATTGTCAGAACACTGAGACTTAAAAAATATCTTAAAAGCTTCTAGAAAGGAAAAGTAGATTACATATGAATAGAAATATTGAGAAACAGAGGTCAGTGGAGCAATGTCTGCAAAATTCTGAGTGGTAGGTAGTTATTTTTAGTCCAATATTCCAAACACAGGGCAATCCTTGAATGTGAGACTTAGAAGGCGGGAGTTGGTTATGTAAGCAACGGGAAACCTTTAAACATTTAACTTAATCAGAATTGTGCTATGTATGGTCTAATCGAGCAGTGGAATTTCAAATGACTTCGTTTGCAGAAACTTAAGTTTGGGAGGCCAGTTAGCGAAAAGCTATTTGTAAGAAATAATGAAAGCTCTGAAGAGGGAAGTGGCAATGGAATGAAGAGGCAGAGACAAGATAGGAGGAACATTTTAGAGGCAAAATCAATAGGATGTCACAAAGTCATTATTGTTCCAAAGCCATCTAATCAGATAAAAGCTGGTAAAGTGATTTCCTAGAATCAATATTGGCAGCGTTTTCACATTAAAGCCCTGTTATGTGGGAGAGTATTGGGATAGGAGAAGACTCTGCTATTTCTGCCTTTTATTCAAATATACTTTGAAAATTTTGAAAAACTAGGAAATATTGAAAAACGGTGGTCAACTACACTGTCAGGCATTCCAGGATTCCAAATGCCTGTCAGGTTGCCAACTTTACTCTGGAAGTGCTGCTTAACTCCACCAGTCTTGAAGTAAAGATAAGCACATGTAGAATTTTCTCACCCTCTTCTAATGTCCCTCAAATAAAAACCTTCAAAGAAATATTCTCTATTCTGAGGCTTACTGACAAAGCTTGTTTGTTCTTTGTCAGGAGATACCTAAAGCTGAGTGTTCTTGAGCTTCTCTTATTTAGATCTATTGTTTTAAGTTTTTATTTTGAATTTATCTACTCAAAAGAAGTTGTAAAAAATAGTACATAGGTTGCAAACCTTTCTCCCTGCTTCCCCAGTAGTGATATCTTATAATTGTATGCGTATCAAAACTAGGTAAGTAGTATGGGTATAAAACTATTAACTAGGGTACAGATATTGATAAGTTTTCTCCAATTTTTTGTATGCACTCGTTTGTGTGTGTTTATTATTAAGAAAAGCCAAAGAGTAGTGATGGCCCAAACATCCATCAACTGATGAATTAAAAAACAGTTCTCTGCAGTTTTATCTTATGTATACATTGATGATAATCTATACACTACCACAATTAAGGTACAGAGTTGTTCCTTATCCAGAAAGAACTCCTGCTGCCCCTTTATAGTCATACCCACCTCTCCCACCCTTCCCTGTCTCCTAGCAACCACTAATTTTTTTTCTTTTTAATATATTTTTATTGAAGGTAAAGAAGAGAGAGAGAAACATCAATGATGAGAGTCATTAATTGGCTGCCTCCTGCATGCTCCCCACTGGGGATCAAGCCCGAAACCTGGGCATCTGCCCTTGACTGGAATCAAACCTAGAACCCCTCAGTCCTCAGGCTGACGCTCTATCCACTGAGCCAA